GGGCCGGAGCGGGGGAGGGTGGGCAGGGGCGGGCTGGAGGGGGGCAATGGAGGGGAAAAAGGGAACATATGTAATACTTTCAACAGTAAAGAATTATTTTTAAAAAATAGAGGTTGTTAAATAATGGCACCTTTCTTATAAGGCCGTTGCAAGCTGGCATCTTCAAGCATTTAGCATCAGGCACTTACTAAGCATTGCACTGGCTCCTTCTCTATGACCGTGTGGTATTCCCTCATGTACCCCACATTCTGCTTCTGGAGCCCTAATAATGGACATAAAATTCCTTCCGACTCTCTGCGACCTGAACTGCCCTCATTCTCATTTGCATACATACCCCGTTTAGGAGCCTGCTGGAGAGAGGGGGGAAGTTGGGTTGTCAGCCATCTTCACATTTAACTTCCCAAAGTATTGCCAGATTGCTCTCCGGAAAGAATGCACCCAATCGTACTCCTACCCTCAGTGCTGGATGGCCCCTCTTCCACACTCTTCTCTAGAACTTGGTGTTCTTAGGCGGCCTAAAGTTTGGCCAGACCCGTGGTCAGCAAACTGCGGCTCGCGAGCCACATGCGGCTCTTTGGCCCTCTGAGTGTGGCTCTTCAGACTAATGCATGTGAAAGCATTGCTTTACTCTCTTATGCAGATCAGTTTAGCATTTCTGGGCTTTAGTCTTCATCGCCACCCAGAATTACTCAACATGAACACATGCCTCTCTGTGTGTGTATAAGTGTGTGTGTGTGTGTGTGTGTGTGTAAGGCTTTGAATGCTAACACTTTAATATTTTAGCCCCTGTCATAGCAAACAAGGGGGTCATCATAGTACCTTTCTCCCTTGTGGTTAAGGCAATTTAATGAAATGACAATGGTCCCTGCTTATTGAGTGTTTACTGTGCTAAGCACTTTACATGCATCAATTCATCTATTCATCCCCCAAACACTCTGGGGCACAGGCTGCTGTTATCATGCCCATTTCACAGATGAGACAACTGAGACACGGAGAAGTTGACTGTAAGAAGCAGAGCTGGGATTCAAACCAGGCGGACAGGCTCAGTAACCACCTCACTGCCTGTTGCTGAGGTGACACGGGAAGAGCACCTGGGGCTGAAAGAATCCTATTATCACAGCTTTTTTTTAAAAAAACATATTTTATTGATTCTTTACAGACAGGAAGGGAGAGGGGTAGAGAGTTAGAAACATCGCAACCAAGGTACATGCCCTTGACCGGAATCGAACCTGGGACCCTTGAGTCCACAGGCCGATGCTCTATCCACTGAGCCAAACCGGTTAGGGCTATCACAGCTTTAATAATCAGACAGGACAACTGAGAGGCGCTTGGGCAATGTTTGCTGCGTCAGCAAATTTGATAATGGATTTGCTTTTGGATCATTTTATAGGCATAATAATATCGCATCCCATATTTTTAAAAATCATGCATGAAACTTGGAAGGGACTCACCTGGGCCTCTGTGTCCCCATCTGTAGCCCCCATCCTTTTCACAGCCCTTCCGTTTGCTAAATCAAAGCACTTGTAACTATCACAGTCAGCTTCCTTTCCAGCACCCACCGGGAGACACGTCCTGTTCCCAAGTTCCTGTGTGAATGAGACTGGTGGGCAGGTGTCACTCAGCTCTCCACCTATTCTATGCCTGCACCCGCCGAACACGGCTGGACAAAAACACACACTACAATGAGACTGGGCTCCCCGTAAGTTCAAGATCACTCCTGTCCATTCACTCTCCCATGCTCCTGGAAGGCTACTTTACACGTTCTCATCCCTCCTCTGACCTCTACCACCTCCTCACGGTCCTCGCTCTCACCCTTGACCCCACTCCTATTTCACAGCGAGAGGCGAGGCCATCGGAAGAGAACTTCCACAGGTTCCCAGGATGTCTACCCCGCTACCTGCACCCGAGACCCTGTTCTCTGCCTTTCCTCCTGTCAAAGACATAAACATGCCTGGCCAAGGCCACTTCCTCACGTGCGCACTACATCCCACCCTTTCTCCCCTACCCAGGACGTCAGTCAAGCAGTTCTCTCCTTCTCTCCTGCATCATCATTTCTCCTCTCTCTTCTCGATCTCATTGGCATAAAAACACGCTCTGGTACAAACATGCTTTATTCCCTTGTCTAGCTACAGCTCCAACATTCTTTTATTTATTATTATTTTATTATTTCTTGTTAATCCTCTCCTGAGGATATTTTCCCATTGATTTTTTAGAAAGAGTGAAAGGAAGGGGGAGACACACACACAGAGAGAAACATCAATGTGAGAGAGACACATTGGTTGCCTCCCACACACATGCCAATCAGAGCCATGCCCTTGACCGGAATTGAACCCGGGACCCTTCAGTCTGCGGGATGATGCTCTATCCACTGAGCAAAACCGGCCAGGGCTCCAACATTCTTTTATAACAAAACCCTCAAAAAAAGTGACCTGTACTAAGGTCTCCAATTCTTTTCCTCCAAGCATTCTGGAATCGCTCCAGCCAGGGTTTGGCTCCACCACTAGGCCAAGTCAACCCTTGAGGATCTCAGCGACCTCCATGTGGCTCAATCCAACAGTCCAGTGACCCACCTCATGTGACTAGAGCCTCTTACTGACAATCACACCCTCTGCCTAGGTTTATTTTCTTCCCTTGGCCTCCAAGACACCCACACTCACGATTTCCCTTCTTTCTTGGTAGCTGTTCCATCCCAGTCACCTCTGCTGTTTCTTTCTCATTTTTTTTTTTAAACACTGGAGGCCCACTGGGGATGTGCCCGCAACCCAGGTACATGCCCTTGACCGGAATCGAACCTGGGACCTTTCAGTCCGCAGGCCGACGCTCTATCCACTGAGCCAAACTGGTTTCGGCTTCCCTCCTTTCTTAGTAGCTGTTCCATCCCAGTCACCTCTGCTGTTTCTTTCTCATTTTTTTTTTTTTAAACACTGGAGGGTCTTGGGGCTGGGTCTTTGGTCCCCTTCTCCTTTCTCTCTTCATCACTCTGTTGGTGATGGTCTCCAAGTTTACATATCTCTCTGGTTGGACCCCCCCCCTGCCGCACACACACCCTGAGTTCAGATTCATATATTCACCTATCCTGTCAACATGTCCATTTGGAAGTCCATTAAGTACCTCAACATCTCCAAAAACAAACTCCTGATCCCCCCTTCCCCAGGTAATCTCAATAAAGGAAAACTTCATCTTGGCAGATTCTCAGATCAAAAAATCTTGCAATCATTTTTGACTTCTCCCTCCCAACACCCAATCCATCAGCAAATTCTGTCAGCTCTACCTTCAGAATATATGCAGATTCTAAACATGTCCCACCACCCCCACTGCTACCACCCTCATAAAGCTACCATCTCTCTTTTGAATCATGTAAAATAAAATCTTTTGCTTAAAATTTTTTTGAGGTGAAAGCCACATATAAATTAACCACTTTAAATGGCACAATCCAGAGATATTTAGTACATTTGCAATATTGTGAAAGCATCATCTCTATTTAGTTCCAAAACGTTTTGTCATCCCCAGAGGAGACCCCACACCCATTAAATGGTGACTCTGCATCCTTAAGCCCATCCCCCAGTTCCTGGAATCACTAATCTGCTTTCTGCCCCTGTGGATCTGCCTACTTTGGACATTTCATATGAGTGGAATCACACAATATTTGACCTTTTGTATCTGGCTTCTTTCGTTTAGCATAATGTTCTTAAGGTTCATCTATATTGTAGCATCGATCAGAACTTTATGTTTTTTTTTTATGGCCGAATAATATTCCATTGTATGGCTATACCACATTCTGTTTATCCATTCATCCATTAATAGACATTTGGGTTGTTGCTACCCTTTGGCAATTCTGAATGGTGCTGCTATGACTATTTATGTACAAGTATTTGTTTAAACATCAGTTTTCAGTTCTCCTGGGTATATACGTAGGAGTGGAAACACTGGGTCATATGGTAAGTCTATGTTTAACTTTCTGAGGAATTGCCAAAATGTTACCTCATTTCAATTATTTTAACAGCCTATTTTTGACACAGCCACCCGCAGGACCACGTAAGGCATGAGTAAAGTTATGCTCCTGCTGCCCTCCACCCTCCGTGGGTCCCCTCCCATTCAGAGCAAAACCCGAAGATCTCATTCACAATGGCCTACAGGACTGGGCTTCCGACTGCCTCCCAGACACCTTCTACCACACTTCCGTTCACTCAGATTGGCCTCCTCACTGTTATATCTATCTATCTATCTATCTATCTATCTATCTATCTATCTATCTATGATTTCAGAGAGGAAAGGAGAGGGAGAGAGAGATAGAAACATCAATGATGAGAATCATTGATTGGCTGCCTCTTGCACGCCCCCTACTGGGGATCGAGCCCGAAACTGGAGCCCTTCAGTCTGCAGGCCGACACTCTATCCACTGAGCCAAACCAGCTAGGGCCTCACTGTTCTTTAAATGCATCAGCATGTTCCCACCTCAGAGCCTTTGCATTAATTGTCTCCTTTTTCTGGAATGCTCTACTCCTGCACCCAGGAGGCTGGCTCCTTCACTGACTACAGGTCTCTGCTGTAAGTCAGCTTCTCTGAGATGCCTTCGCTGACCAGCCTGTCTCCTTTATTTGGCTTTATTTTCTCCTCAACACTTATCTACATCTGACATTTTATTTATTTATTTATTTATTTATAATTTATTTATTTATATTTTATGGTTTATCTCCCTTTCACCAGGTCATGAGCTTTTTCTTTTCTTTTTTCTTTTTAAAAAAATATATTTTATTGATTTTTTACAGAGAGGAAGGGAGAGGGATAGAGTTAGAAACATCGATGAGAGAGAAACATCGATCAGCTGCCTCTTGCACACTCCCTACTGGGGATGTGCCCACAACCAAGGTACATGCCCTTGACCGGAATCGAACCTGGGACCCTTGAGTCCGCAGGCCAATGCTCTATCCACTGAGCCAAACCGGTTAGGGCGGTCATGAGCTTTTTCTATTTGTTCATTAATACACCCAGCACCCTGGAAAGTTCCTGGAACTTGGCAGGTGCTCAGTAATGTTTGATGAATGAATGAATGAATTGAACTCTATTTATAGATAGAGAAAAGTGAAGCCCACAGAAGATGCACGATTGGTGGGAGCGCCCCCAGCTGGTAATAGGAAGCATTCGGTTCTATTCCAGGTCTCTCTGACTGCAAAGCTCAAGTTCTTCTTTTAATAGTGATATGTGTGTGTTTTTTAAAAAAATATGTTTTTATTGATTTTTTTTTTTTTTTAGAGAGAGAGAGAAAGGGAGAGAAAAACATCGAGTGACCCCCTGCACACCCTACTGGGGCTCAAGCCTGAAACCCAAGCATGTGCCCTGACCAGGAATCAAACCAGTGACTTCTTGGTGCAGGGGACAATGCTCAACCCACTGAGCCACACCAGCCAGGGCCAAAACTCGAGTTTTTAACTGGACTATTTTGTGACTTTTATCGCTAGGTCTCATCACAACCCTAAATGTCAGTCTGTCATCAATACTCAATTCACAGGCAGGAAAACTCATACCCAGAGAGGAAAGGGGGCCCCCGCAACCAGTTGGTGGAAATGGCAGGACTGGCTGTTTTGCCTCAGGGTAGGATTTCTGGTACTAGCTTCTGGCACTCACTGGTCACTCAGGAAATGCGTCATGACTGGTTGAGGGTGGGTTTATAGTAAAGCTCATGTAAACTTCCGGGCCCATGATTGGCATAAGCCAGTGATGGCGAACCTATGACACGCGTGTCAGAGGTGACACGCGAACTCATTTTTTTGGTTGATTTTTCTTTGTTAAATGGCATTTAAATATATAAAATAAATATCAAAAATATAAGTCTTTGTTTTACTATGGTGGCAAATATCAAAAAATTTCTATATGTGACACGGCACCAGAGTTAAGTTAGGGTTTTTCAAAATGCTGACACGCCGAGCTCAAAAGGTTCGCCATCACTGGCATAGACCCTTCCAAGACCCTACCGATGTGTTCTTACGGTCTCGTTTAAAGGAGGACATTTAAAATGCAACTGGCTGCTACCACTGTCTTTTTCTAGTTCCCTTCCCCCTGTTGCACTTCTCTTTACCATGGTGGCGATGGAGTAGTCAGGCATTTATGGGACCTCGCTGGGGGGAATGGGGTTTGAGGATACACTGAGTTTTGTGGGTTATTTGGTGGGGTTCAGAGACACTTTCAGGTAGACTTAAATGACCTACCGAGTTTCATGGTGTAGGAATGGCTTCCAGGAATGCTCCTAACGTCCAGGGTGCTAGCTCACTAGATGCAAGCCTCAGTCTATAGTGGCATGACCTGTCCTATAAGTGTCTCACTCCAGAAGCACCTCACAGGGGAGTTGAGTGAATAATTAAAAGGAATGAGCCGAGCCCTAGCCGGTTTGACTCAGTGGGTAGAGCTTCAGCCTGCAGACTGAAGGGCCCAGGGTTTGATTCCCGTCAAAGGCATGTACCTCAGTTGCAGGCTCCTCCCCGGCCCAGGCCCTGGTCAATGTATTTCTCTCATCCATATTCTCTCTGTCTTTCCCTCTCTCTTCCACTCTCTACAAATCAATGGAAAAATATCCTCGGGTGAGGATTTAAAAAAAAAAAAAAAAAAGGAATAAGCCAGAAGCCAGTCTGTGGAAACATTTTCCAGAACTTCCAGCTAACAGATGAGTTAAAGTTCATGAATGTTTTCACGAATTTCCTGCAAATTTAGATGACATCACCAATACTGACTTGTGAAGCTGAAACTTAAAAAAAAAAAAAAAAATTTCTGCCCTGCCCGGGTTGGCTCAGTGGATAGAGCATCGGCCTGCAGACTGAAGGGTCCTGGGTTTGATTCTGATCAAGGCACGTGCCTGGGTTGCAGACCCAATCCCCAGTGGGGGGCGTGCAGGAGGCAACCGATCAATGATTCTCTCTCATGGATGTTTCTATCTCTCTCGCCCTCTCCCTTCCTCTCTGAAATCCATAAAAATATATTTTAAAAAATTCTAATGACTAAAAAAAGTTCCATTAAATATGCTAGAGGAAGGAAAATGTACTTTTCTCGCTGGAGATAAGGATATTGTGAAATAAGTATATGAAGCCAAAAAAGTAGGAAACATATCACAGAGGTGTGTCAGGCAGTAAATTAATAAAAAACATTACGCTATCATCTTTTGGGATTTAGCAATGTTTGCGGTATTGGTCAGCATAAAAAAAAAGGATTCTAGAGAGAGGGAGGGGAAGAGAGAGAGAGAGAGAGAGAGAGAGAGAGATGAGATAGAAACATCAACCGGTTGCCTCCCCTATGCTCCCAACCAGGGCCACCTTTCCGTGTACCGGATCACGCTCCAACCACCTGAGCCATATCAACCAGGGCAGCTCTTTTAAATATGCAATTTGTTATTATTTCATGTTCGAAGTAAATTTGCATGTTCACACACATGCCGCGTTTGTGATTTTTGTGTTCCTTAAAGAACAATCCCCTGCCCTGCTCCTTCACCGCATTCTATAAGCTGGATCCGCCCGTTGATGCCTCACTGGCTTGAAACAGGTGTTCTCCAGCTGTGTGGTCCCCAGCCAGCGGCTGCACTCCTTTGAGCCTGTTCCTTTAGCGGCAAAATGGGGATTACAATAGCGCCTCCATTGCAGGGTTGCTAACTTTAAATAAGACAAGGCCCACTAAGTACTTAGTGCAGGCTTGGGACGCACCGAGCGACGACAAATCCCAACCAGTCTTTCTTATGCTAAGAGTCCTTCCGCAGCTCTCAGTCTACGGTCAAGACACCCCCTTACGCATGCGCGTCCGCCTCCCCCGCCACCCGGGGCCTCGGCTCCCCGGCCTTTTATCCCAGTGGGCGCGGCCTACTCTCTCGCAGGGGGTGATGGGCGGGGTCAAGGGACTCCTTCCGGGATTTCCCTCTCAAAATAACAAAACCTCTTTGTATGACCGGCAGGAAGGATTAGCCAGTGGAGATCGGAAGGGAGGCCAACAACCCCACCCATTTCGAGCCTCTCTTCCGAGTTGGCCAATTGCAAGCGTTGGGGGGCGGGTTCTTCTCTGGGGCGGGACAGAGTGACGGGCGTCTGCTTGACTAATGGGGACTTGGCTGTGAGGAAGCCAGAGCCAATCAGAAGTGAGAAAGCCTGATCCCGGGGCGGGGCTGGAGCTTCGGCGGTTGAACCGCTCGCGCCGAGGGG